TCTCTAGAAATGCACCTATTGCTTAGACTGAAGAACAACTGGATGTCGTTTTGTTTGAGGCTTTGCCAAGAACTATTCACCATTTGGGGAAATAACATCTCTGACAGGAGCTCCGCTCTGGTACTTGAATCACCAAGTCAAGACACTTGGACCAGCTGCATTAGAAAATCGCCACGTTCACAGTGATTTGTATTTGTACAAACATACCCATCCATGCACTATTTCAAAGTGTCAAGTCTTGAGTGTGGATGTAATTCTATTAAATAGTCTTACTTCTCATAATTCCAGACATATCCATTATAAGTAGGTGCAACCACCTGACCACTGTATCCGTCTTCCAGCACAGTTCTGCCCAAGCATTTACGTATCACTATTGTATTGTTTTATCATAAATCACTTCCCTTTTTCTCCTTTGTATTGGAATTAGGGCATTTTATCGATTTGTTTTAAATCATGTGTGTAGACAGATATATTACCCTTGAATTTTGTCAGCATGGAAAAGGAGATGTTATAAAATATTTGCTGTAAAAGGAGGGTGTTGTGGGGTCAGCCTGGTGGCGTAGCAGTTAAGTTCGTGTGCTCCACTTCAGCCCGGGATTTGCCAGTTCAGATCCTGGCACAGACCTAGCACGCCTCACCAAGCCACGCTATGGCAGGCGTCCCACATATAAAATAGAGGAAGATGGGCATAGATGTTAGCTCAGGGCGAATCTTCCTCTGCAAAAAGAGGAGGATTGGCAGCAGATATAGCTCAGGGCTAATCTTCCTCAAAAAAAAAAAAAAGGGTTTTGCATTTGTGGGCGCTGAAAAATCACTGTTGTGGAGTGAGGAGTTCCACGTGAGATGGCAAGGGTGAACTGAAACAGAGGATCCAGAGGTAGGAGGAAACCAGAAGAACACAGTAGCCTAAAAGCAGGAGTTTCTAGAAGGATGGCTAACAGGGTGTCCTGGACATATCAATAAAGGGGTCCCATGTGACCGTGGTGGAGCCGGGGGGAAGGGGAGCCAAGGTGCTGGCTAGATTGGAAGTTGTAGGCCTTTCTTGCCAAGAGGAGTTGAGGAAAATGGCAAAGCAGTGGCTGAAGTCATGGCCAAGTCTAACTGAAGGTAGACGGACAGGAAAGCAGGCAGGGTTCAGAGGGCAGGAAAGAGGGAGGTCAAAGGACTCACTTCACGGGAGTGAACGAGGGAGAGTCCAAGAGGGGCTGTGGTTGGGTACCACCTTGGAAACACTGATTTCCAAGGCAGAGCTGTCTGATGATGACGAGCCCTCGGGTTTAGCTGCAGGACGCTGTGACCAAGTGGACACTGGAGATGAGGGGCCCAGAAGGCAGGTTCTGGCCGAGCTGCTGCTGTTCAGGTGGCAGCCAAGTCCCCTAGGGTAGTGGCACCCACCCCCACCGCCTCAACACTGCCCCTAGCCTGCTGAATTACTGGGCCGGGGTCACGTGGAGATTAATCAACATCTGTTGAATGAGCGAATGTGCGGGAAGACTCAGGGTGGAGACGAAGTTGAGCCCAGGATCAAAGGCTCCAATGAGGGAGCGGGAGTGACTGGGGGCTTCCTGGGTGACAGCAATGGGAAGGAGCAGAGAACATCCAGCTGGAGAAGAGGGTCCCTCACTGAGGAACAGAAGGGATGGCCTGCAGAGAGGAGGTCATTGGTCCCCTTTCTGACCTGGGGACTTGGCCACATTCGTCACAGAAGATCTCCTCATGCCCTCTCAGCCACCTCCTCACACACACAGCTCTCTCCTGCCTGTCTGGAATGCTTCCCACTCTTCTTGGCATAGATGTCTCTGTTTTAGCCATTAGGACTCAGGGTAGATGTCACTTCCCTGAGCACCCCATTCTCTCATGTCCTCTCTCACTGCGCCCTGTTTGGTTCCTCAGTGGCACAGTTTACTGCATCTGATGCATCATTATATTGGAAATGTTAATAAATTTCACTCGGGGTAGGCAGAAGAAAGCCTCCCCCCCACCCCCAAAGGATGTCTACATCCTAATGCCCGGAATTTGAGAGTATGTTTCCTTATGGTCTTTGCAAATCTGATTAAGTTAAGGAACGTGAGATGGGGGATTATCCTGGATTATCTGAGTGGGCCCAATGGAATCATAAGGGTCCTTATAAGTGGAAGAAGAAGGTCAGAGTCAAAGATTTGAAGATGTTAGGCTGCTGGCTTTGAAGATGGAGGAAGCGGCATGAGCCAAGGAATGCAGGCAGCTTCTAAAACCTGGAAAAGGCAAGGAAATGGATCCTCCCCTGGAGCCTCCAGAAGAAACAGCCCTGGCAACTCCTTGATTTTAGCCCAGGGAGATCTATTTCGGACCGCTGACCTCCAGAACCACAAGAGAATAAATTTATGCCATTTTAAGCCACTAAGTTTGTGTAATTTGTTGCAGTAGCAATAGGAAACTAATACAGGGTATAACACTTGAAATGACGCAAACCCACAAACTTAAAAAAAAAAAAAATCATCAAGATGCAAAAGTTTCAAAGACAGTGGACCAAGAAAATTGCAAACAACTGCCATACGGTAGTTAGTCCCACTTAGTCGGGAGAGAAAAACCTGCCACCATTACAGTTGAATTGAACAAGTTCTGAGTTAGACAATATCTTTGGGACACGTTCTTGGTATAAAATATGACATCCTTGTGTTTACATATCTGTTTATTTACTCAGTGGCTCCTCTGCCTCTTGGGGGCTGATTCTTCACCTAAGTGCCTGGCTCATGGAGGGGCTCGAGAAGCATCTGTTGAATGATTGTTGATGCATGAATTCTGACTGACGGGAGGAGGTGAGGAAGAAGTGCTCTGAGAAGGGCCAATGCCTGGGATTGCCCTGGAGAGATCACCAGGGGTGGGGAGTAGGGCTGGGCTCAGGCAGCGGAGGGCCGGCTGGAGTGAGTGGCGCTGGGGAGGGAGCCAGGTTGCTCTGGCCCTGCCTCTAGCCAAATGTGTGTTCTTTAGCAAATCACTCCCTCTCTCTGGGTCTCAGTCTTCTAATCCATAAAACCAGGAGAATATTCTCTGTCCTAAGCATTTTCCTCAGCCTTCTGTGGTTCTAATGAGGGAAAGGAGGTGAGAAGACTTTTATGAACTGCTACCAAACCCAGTGCTATTTAAAAGACACAGGTAGCTTTTGCACAGTGAAGGAAACCATCAACAAAACGAAAAGGTAACTGACTGAACAGGAGAAGATATCTGCAAATCATACATCTGATAAGAGGTTAATACCCCAAATCTATTAAAGAACTTACAGAACATAATATCAAAATAATAAACAACCCGATTAAAAAATGGGCAGATGACTTGAACATTTTTCCAAAGAAGACATAGAGATGGCCAACAGGCACATGAAAAGATGCTCAACATCACCAGTCAACAGGGAAATGCAAATCAAAGTCACAACGAGATACCACCTCATACCTTTTAGAATGGTGATTATTAAAAAGACAAGAAACAACAGGTGCTGGCAAGGATGTGGAGAAAAAGGAACCCTTGTACACTGCTGGTGGGAATGTAAATTGGCACAGCCACTATGGACAACAGTATGTAGGTTCCTCAAAAAATTAAAAACAGAACTACCATATGATCCAGCTATTCCACTTCTGGGTATTTATCTGAAGAAAATGAAAACACTAACTTGAAGAAATATATGCATCCCTATGTTCATTGCAGCATTATTTACAATAGCTAAGACTTAGAAGCAACCTAAGTGTCCATTGATAGGGGAATGGATAAAGAAGATATGGTATATGGATACAATGGAATACCACTCAGCCATAAAAAAGAATGAAATCTTGTCATTTGTGACAACAAGGATGGGATCTAGAGGGTATTATGCTAAGTGAAATAAGACAAATAAGACAGAGAAAGACAAACACCATATGATTTCACTTATATGTGGAATCTAAGAAACAAAACAAATGAACAAATAAAACAAAACAGAAACAGACTCGTAGATACAAGAAACAAACTGGTGGTTACCAGAGAAGGGAAGGGTTGGAGGGGGCCGGTGAAATAGACGAAGGGGATTAAGGAGTACAAACTTCCAGTAATAAAATAAATAAGTCATGGGGATGTAATGTACAGAATAGGGGGTATAGTCTATAATACTGTAATAACTTTATATGGTGATAGATGGTTACTAGACTTATGGTGAACATTTTGTAGTGTATACAAAATGTCAAATCACTGTTGTACATCTGAAACTAACATAGTATTGTATGTCAACTACACTTCAAAAAAAAAGACGAGTAGCAAATGTGAATGCCTATGGAGGCCAGGCCAGAAAGTGACTGATGTAGGGGGAGATAGGGGACTGAGGAATAGACATCGATACCAGGTGGGAATGCTGGCCGCACGCTACCGGATCTCCAGAACTTTCAAGAAGAATGAGAAATCTGGATATGGTGAATTTGTCCAATTTTTAAATGTTGCCAACTAACTCAAAAAAGTTTTAAACTGTGGGCCAGACACCACCAGTTAGGTGCAGCATCTTCTCTGACATGCTGACTTGGAGCTTGTCTCAGGGGCAAAATAAGTTCTGTCCAAGTTACTGGGTCCCCTGTGGGACTGTGAGGGAGCAGGCGTCCCTGTCTGGGCTTCAGTCTCTGCCTCTGGACAGTGAAGGCTGCCCCGGCTCAAGGATTCTAAGTCTCTGTGACTGCCAGGGCAAGGTCCAAGACAGTGATGGCAACGCTGATGCTGTTCTGATTATAACCCCTCGTGTCAGTAGTCGCACCTTCCCATAGCAGCCTCACGATTCCTTACAACCTGAGATGTGGGCATTTTTATCCTCATTTTTCAGATAAGGAGACTGAGGCACAGAGAGGGGGTGTGCCCTACCCAAGGTCACACAGGTAGCGAGTGGCAGAGTGGGGCTCAGCTTCCCCCCCCCCAACTCCCTGGCATGAGCTGGCGGTGGGGAACAGGGACCCGCCCAGGCCTCAGGAGGACCCCCCAGCCCTGGGTGGGGCAGACAGAAAGCCTCTTACCAGACTCCGCTGACGCAGCGCGTGGACAGCGCCCGGGGCATAATCTCCGAGCCCTGCTGCATGAAGCCCCCCACGGGGAACCAGAGGCTGTTGCCCAGTGTGTACTGGTTCTCCAGGATGTGGGGGCGCGCCCGCAGGCACGGGTGTGGGTTATACCACTCATAGGGGCTCAGCCTGTGGAGAGACGGAGGGGGTGTGGATGGGGCCGAGTGGGGAGAAAAAGGAGGGAAGCAGGAGAGAGACAGAGCCACCATGATCAGAAGAGATGAGGAGAGAGAGAGAAAAAGGAAGGGAAAAGAGAGACAGAGAGATGAACAGAGAGAGACACAGAGAGAGAGAGACACACACACACACAGACAGAAACAGAGAAAGACAGAATGAATGGGAAGGGGAGAGGCCCAGAGAGAGAACCACAGAGCAAAAGTCAGAACCACGAGGGCGGAAGAGGAAAGAAGGCCCAGAGACGGGGCCAGAAGGGAGAAGGGAGGGTGCAGAGAATCCGAGGCCCCAAGTGGAGGCCAAGGATGGTCAGGACAGACGACAGAATGTGCAGGTCAGTCACAGAGTGCCCCCGCTCATGCCTCCTCCCCACACCCTCTCCCTGGGCAGCCGGCAGTGGACTCACCTGGCAGCCAGGAACAGGACGCAGCTGACAGCCAGGTAGGCGAGAAGCATGAAGAGCCACACAGCAGGGGAGAAGGGGTCCAGGAAGGAGAAGTAGCCAGGCTTGCGGCCCTGGGGGGAGAGGGAGTGAGCCCCGGAGCCACCCTGACCTCAACCCCTGAGCCACAGCCTTAGCCCCTGCCCATCCCCAGGGGCCCAGGAGCCTGATTAGCCCATCAAAGGTCCAGCCCACAGCCTCTGCTTCCCTTGGGAACACAGGCGTCTGGCCCCACTGCCAGCTCCTGCCCCAAGCCTCCATGTCTCCGGGGGAACGGTACCATGTGCACACGGTAGAGGATGCTGATCCCCAGGGTCATGAAGGGTTTGGAGAAGTCGATGACCTTCTCTCGCTCAGCTGTGATGGTGAACGCAGCCACAGCCAGGTCTGCCTTCTGCTGGAGGGGAAGCAGGGTGGGGGCAGAGGGGCGGGCCAGGGAGACAGATGGGCAGTTAGAGAGAAACGCACTGAGAGAGACTATCAGAAGCCAAGAGAGAGGCAAAGAGAAAGGAGAACAGGAGGGGCCAGGAGCCTGGACTGGCTCCAGGAGTGCACCATGGGCCCCAAATTGGACCCTCGTCATCTCACATCTGCTGTAACAGGCTCCTGTGGCCTCTTTCCTGCCCGGCTGCCCCGCCCCATCCAATCCCCCTCACCCCCCGGCAAGCTCATTAACACCCTGCTTTATAAAACCTACCACTGACCCTACCTCCCCACCCTGGGGGCCTGGAGAGAGCCTGAGATTGGAGGTGAGATGCCTGGACACTGACCCACTCAGGACCCTCTTTGGGCCTTGGTTTCCTCCCCTGTCTTAACAGTTAACAAGATGGAACAGTTATTAATGTGCTGACTGTGTGCCAGGCTCCATGCCAGATAGCGTTTTACTGAGATTACCTTGTATGCTTCTCCCAATAGCTCCCTGAGGGCCACTATTAGCACCATTTTATAGACGGGGAAACTGAGTCTCAGAGAGGCAAAGGCACTGGCCAGTAAAGGCAGGAGCTGGGGACCCTAAAGCAGAAATGTGACCTCTATTCTCCTGCCCCCAGCAGGCACTAGTGACCTAGATGAGTGCATGAAGGCACTGCTGAGGCCCAGGGCCAGTGCCCAACTCAACTGAGATGATGACCTCAGGGGACACTGCATGAGGTCCCAAGCAGGGGAGCTGGGAGGGTTGCCTGGGGTCCAGGTCTGAAGGGGTGAGGGTGGGGTGTGGGTAGGTGGGACAGGAGAAGGGTTTGGGTTGGGTTCTGGCTAACACACCTGGAATCTCTGATCCAAAAGGGCCATCTTGATCAGGCCCAAGGGACGGTAGCCAGCCTTTAGCTGTGGGCTGGACACAAGACTGGGAAAAAGCCTGGCACTCTGCATGCCCCGCCACACAGATATACACACACTGAGCACTGTACATGGTCACGTCTACTCCACCACCACCATGTGCACACCACACCACACCCCCACATGGGTGCCCAGACACAGGCCAACCCAGCCACACACCATCCACAAGGATGCAGGCCGACAGACACATACCCTACACACAAATGTAGGGAGGAGGAAAGACACAAGCGGAGGTAGGGAACATTCTCTGGAGGCAAAGTGCACACACTTGCACACATGGCCCTCACATACGTACATACATAGGGGAGCAGGCAGGGCAGGGCGCTGGGAAGAGCCCAGAGCAGGAGTGGGGAGCCCCGAGCTCGCTGGGTGACCTCAGGCAGGGGTTTCCACATCTCTGGGCCTCAGTTTGCTCATCTGTAAAATGGGGGGGGGGAGGTGTTGGGCAAGATGTCTACACAGCTCTCCAGGTCCTGGGGTTGGGACTGGGCTCCCAGGATGCCCCCTTTCAGGCATAATGACTCCATCCCCCAGGCTTCAAACAGGCCCCAGCACTGACTCCAAATTCAACCAGAAACCTCTCCCTGGGGTGGAAATAAAAGAGTCAAGGTCCTGGATCACTGGCCAAGGGGGAGACACAAACTCATCCCAAAGGGGCTGAGAGTGAGAGCACACGAAGTAATACAGGCCCAGGCAGAACCCAGGTCAGGAGAGAGAGAGCACAGGCCCAAAAGATAACCACAAGGTAGAGAGGTGACACGGGCTGAAAACAAAACCAAGGTCAAGGAGAGATCACGTGGGGTCCAAATGGAATCCAGGATCAGGGAGAGAAGAGAGAGATCTCAAAGACAACTCGACACCGAGGAGAGGGGACAGACTCAAAAGATAAACCAAGAGTAGAGAGAGATGGCAGGTCAAACAACTAACGCAGGGGTAGGGAGAGACGGCGCCGGCCCTGGTATGACTTGGGAGCGGAGAGAGACAGCACAGCCCCAAAGCAGTGTCCAGAGGTGGCAATGTGTGGCCAGGGCCCAGGACACGGCTGATGCAGAGCACACCTGGGAATCCCTGCGCACCAAGTGAGGGGCTGTTCCCCCTCCCCGTGCTCTTGCCACTGACTGAGACATGGATTGTCAGCAACAACGACAGCTCATACAGGAACCCAATTATTTTTATGCACCCACAGGGAGTCTGTCCTGGCAAGACCCTCCACAGGGCCCAAGTCCCATATCAGAAAGCAGGAGGCACTGGCTTCTCAGAGGGGCTCAGGAGGGCCCTGGTGGTCCCTATGCTCAGGAGCCCACTTCCTCCCTGAGGCCTGCAGGGCTCCCGGCTCCTTTCTGTTCCATCCCTTGCTCAGCTCACTGGCTTCCTCACCAGCTCCTGAGACCCTGTCTCAGGCCCAGCACCTAGGCCAGGCCTGCCTCTTCTCTTTCACTTCTCCCGCAGGAGCAAGGACAGAGAAACCCTCCAGGATCTGTTTAATTCTCTCCACCTCCACCCCGAGGCCCAGACCACCCATATCTCTCTCCTAACAACCCCATTAGTCTCCTCACCAGCCTCCCTACTGCTGCTCATAACCTCCCAATGCAAAGGGATAGTCCACGGTTTAAAATCTGTCAGTGGCTTCCCATTGTACTGAAGGCAAACCCTCTGATGGCCAAGAGGCCCTGCATGATGTGAGAGCCACTTGCCCACTGGCCTCACCTCACGCCCTTCCCCTCGCCCGCTTGGCTCCAGCCACAATGGTACTTTTTGCTCTTTACCACAAAAGGCTCGTTCTCTACCCCAGGGCCTCTGCACTTGCTCTTCCCCAGCTCTTCCTCACCTCTTCAGCCCTCCCCACAGCAGCCTCCAGACCCCACATCCCCCACCCCAGGGTCCTCTCCTTCACAGGACCTACTGCCTTGTTTCATATCCTTCTTAGCACTACTGGAGATGACCTTGCCTGTTGGCTTATTAATGGTCCGTCTTCCCTACTAAATTTCCAGTTCCTTCCCTGGCTGGTTAGAGGTGCACCCCAGAGCTTACACAGAGGTTCCCAACAAATGCTGCTTGTTTTTGACCAAATCCAGCCTCTCTGAATGCACCCAAGGCTGCTACAGCTCCCCACTGCGTTCCTCTCACCATCCCTCTCGTGCCAGCTGCTCTCTGGCCTCTGTACCCTTGAGCAGTGGGGCAAGTAGAAACAAACCATTTTTACAAACACATATAATACAGGAAATTAAACTGATGCTTTTAAAACAGAAAGAGATCACAACTTTTAAGAGAAAGAAGAAAGATTTTTGTTCTAGAAAACTCTGTTAAGAGCTGAGCATTGAATTTAGCTGAGAGCTTTCTCGCAGCCAAGGTGAAAAGGGGGAAAAAACCCAGCTTTGCCTGCCCCACTCCACCCTGCAGAACTGGATCCCACCATCCCTCCAGGGCCCCCTCGAATCTTCCCTCCTCTGCGATGCCTTCTGTGGAACCCCACATTCTGGACACTCCTTGATCTCAGCACTTAGCTGAGTTCAAAAAATATCTGTTGGCTTCTTGGCCTCCTTTATGAAACCTTCAGAGGCAGGGCCAGCTGGATGCACTGTGAATCTCCTCTGCTGAAAGCCCGGGAATGTCACCCCTCCCCGGGACCTCCCAGACAGAGACACTGCTCCTTCCCTGGGCTGGAACAGAACCCCACGGTGGTCCAGATGCTGGCACTTACAGGGCACTTACCCTGAGGCCACCATTCCAGGGCTGTCCCTCCCCAGAGAAGCTCATTTAGTCCCCAAAGAAACCCTATATGGAGGACCCTCATTCCCACCACTTTACACGTGAAGAAACTGAGGCACAGTGAAGGTAAGTACCTGGCTCTAGATGACCTCAGGATTCAGAACCACTCTCCCTCAGAGGGGGCTTCACCTGTCTGCATGGCCCCCCATGGCCAGGGGCATCTGAGGTTGGGGTCTAGGTGTGTGACTCCTCCCTGGTCCCAGGAAGCTCAGGAAATGAGTGACAAGTGACTAGAAGAGTGAGTGAGTCCTTGAACCTCCCATGAATATGCAGCAAATGCAGACCCTATCCTCTCCCCAGTGACATCTCAAGAGAAGCCCCAGGCATCCTTGACACACATCCCCCTCACGCCTCACTGCATCCATCCTTAAGCCCTCCTAAGGAGATTTCACGACCTGCCCCCCCCCCCAACACTTCTGGAATCCAGTTGCTTCTGTCCACCTCCACTGTGCTGCCCCTGCCCAGATCGCCATCTGTCAGGACTGGAAAGCTGGTCTCTGCCTCCTCAGCCACTCAGCAGGCAGCCTGAGGGATCCCAGAAACTACAACCTGGTCACTGTGCCCTCTGCCTAAACCCTGCGATAACTCTCATTCTTCTTATACTGTCATCCAAACTCCTCACCCGGCCCCGACTACCTCACCAGCCTCACCCCCACTGCTATGGACTGAGGTTTGTGTCCCCCTAAAATGCACATGTTGAAATCTTAACCCCCAATCTGATGGGCTTAAGAGATGGGGGCCTTTGGGAGGTTAGGTCATGAGGTGGCGCTAATGAATGGGATTAGTGCCTTTATAAAAGAGGCCTCAGAGAGCCCTCTTGCCCCTTCCTCCATGTGAGGACACAGCAAGAAGATGGCCATCTGTGAACTAGGAAGTGAGCCCTCACCAGACACCGAATCTGCCAGCACCTTGATCTTGGACTTTCAGCTTCCAGAACTGTGAGAAAATAAATTTCTATTGTTTATAAGCCACCCAGCCCATGGAGTTCTGCTACAGCAGCACAAACAGACGAAGATACCCACCATCTTTCCCTGTATGCCCAGATTGCAGCCACTCTGCTCATTCTGTCTGTTCATTCATTTATTCACCTGCTTGACAAACATTGGCGGAACACCCACCACTGGCCAGGCACAAGTCTACCTTTGGGAATACAGCAGTGAGTATAAACACATGTCAGGTAGCGACAAATGCTGTGAAACAAAACAAAGCAGGCCAACACCATTCAGACTGCCACACACTCCCCGCTGTGGGGAGGTCTCGAGTACAAACATGAAGGAAGTGTAGGAGGGA